AGCAATCAACACTTCAACAATGTTCTTTATGTAATGGCAAAGTTTATTTCAGGTTTAATAACAATGAAAGGACAAAATGTTTAAAATTCGCAGTTGAAAACATGCACATTCACAAAAGGCCAATGACACGTAACACTGCATAGAACTGAATGTTACTCAACTTTAGTAACTATTTATAAAACACAGTGCATTGAACATCGAGATAAACAAACCTGAGAAAGCTACGACAATCACAGAGTCAAAACTCTTCATTCATGCGGCTTCACGATGTCTACAGCAGTTTCAGCAGGAATGGATCTCATGGAGCTGAAAACACTACTTTATCTTTAATGCAAACTGTGGTTTTCCATAGTAGCTGCCTTCCAAGGCTGCCTTTTATCTTTTTAACCTAATACAGTTGGAAATGTGAAAACTGAAGCTTGAAGTAGTTAAATAAATAGTACTTATTGCATGTACAGTTTCTAATTCTAGATCCATGAAATATAAAAAAATGTTTATTATTTTTAAAATATTCTGCTCATCTTTCCAAGAGCAGACTTACTTATGGAAAGTTACTGTTAATTCAAAGTAAGCACATATGAAATCTAGCTTTCTTTCCTCTTGAAGGGAGATTTATTTGCTGAGAAGTTTTGTGAGCCTTATTAAGAAAAAGTTCTTAGAGGAACACTAAACAAAAGATTCAATTAAATTTGTAAAATAATTTACTTATGGGGGAAAAAAAAAAAAGCTGTGCAGAAGACCAGTTAATCTGTCCACTGTATATTACATTCCAGGTAGGCCATGATAGAATTTATAAGGCAGAAATAAACATCAAGATTTACAGCAATAGGCATGCATTGGCCTAGATCACTTTAAATATTAATTCATGCAAACCATAAACCCATCAAAAACCCAGCTGCTCACATACAGAAAATAAATCAATACGAAAAATGGAAAACATTCATTTCCTTTCCTTCAAAATTTAGCTTGCAGTCCATTTTAATAGCTGTTGAAGGTTAATTAAAATGCAGCGCAGTGTAAGTTTCACAAGTGACATTAATTATTTTAATGTGAGAAAAATCAGACTATGGTATCTTTAAGAGGCATTACAGAAATGTCCATCATCAAAAAGCATTTATTAGGCACTGAACTGCATGGTGTTTGTTATATTAAATAATTCAGAAAAAGAACTCCACAAGACCTGGTCCATGAGATATGAAAAGGATGGACATTTACTCAGTAAATTTTGTAGATATCATTTGTAAATTATAGATTTGACGAAATAAGTATTAAAACCAGGAGCTATCAAATGGGCAACTGCACAAAAATAAGGACTAAATATTATTACTTTGTAATAATTATGACACTTATAAATAAATTAAAAGCTATGAATATACTATCAATTACTTTTTAACTAGCATTCACTTCCTGGGGGATAAAAAAAACAAAAAACTGTACACAATGCAGAACAAATTATCACATGGCTATTTCATATTGGATATTTAGAGTGCTGCATCATAAAACTAAAATATAAAATTTAATGATCAGAATAAATTCTGATTGACTTTTAATTCAATCTTTTCTCCCCTGGAAATTAACAGGAATCACTGATTCCATTTAATGGCCACACGATTCATGTACTGGCTGACATTCCTCAGCAGAACACAAGTACACCTGATGTGATTACAGAGTTTTCTATGAAGTTAGTGACACTGCTGAACCAGTCTCACATGAGAGGGCAGAATGGGGATGGGAGGGCGGGATGCATGCATTTCATTTCAAATTCACCACCTTCCTGAGAAACACTATTGTCCTGCTCATAATTTCTACCACATAGCATCTTTCTGGATGTGCAACACCAATAGATTTTTCTATGTATATATAGAACATATAGAAAGTCCATGCTTAATACCACTATTAAAGGATCAATATCAATATTAAAGAACAACTTCCAGCTTTTCAGTGCTAAGTGAACGGTAATTTTATAAACAAGTGATTATTTTCTGAATTGTAAACATTGTAAAGCAATGGTGTTAGCATTTGCCAGAGTCCCTACAAGGGACTTTTTAACTGAAGAGTGCTTGTCTTTTATTAGGGCACCCTGGTGGCACAGTGGTTAAAGTGGGAGAAAGATGTGTCAGTTGGCTTCCATGAAGATTTACAGCCTTGGAAAGCCTATGGGCAGTTCTACTCTGTGTTGTGTAGGGTTTCTATGAGTCAGAATTGACTTGATGGCAGACAGTGGGTGTCCTTTTTTTTTTAAGAAAACATGCATTAAAAGTCACTTCAACTGTTTTATTTTAATTGTGGTAAAACTGTGTTACATTTTCTCCCTTAGGAAGGCTAAAAAATCAGATGGTATTCTCTCATTTTAATTAACACTACAAAGTCACTGTAACTGAAATGGAATATTTAAAGTTTTTACCAAGGAGTCAGCCCTCTAAGTCCCCTCCTAAGAAGCAAAGAAACTGACTTAATGTTTATAATTTAACAGGGCTGTGGGGCAAAAAGATATAAAGTAGTCACACTCCCTATCACGATCTTATACACTAAATTATTAGCCATGCGTGTTCCACTCATGTCAAAGAGCTCCACAAAAACAACCCACGTTTTAAGGTGAGAATAATATCTTCAATTTTCTTGTTTAAATCAGAAAATGCTGCCTTCTTCTATCATCACATTTTGAGGCCACTGACGAGGTGAGGGCAAATGGAAGTAGCTCTTCTTGGTAACTACTGTGAGTGTTTTCTGGAGAGATACACTTCATTCTTGCTGTCTGATTTCTGTGGCGTGACCTCAACTATCACAACTGGAAAGCACAGGGAAAGCTACTCGGAATTTCCATTTGGCAGAGAACGAAAGTCTGTGACTTCAGAATTTTGAGGATGGCCTTAGATTCTTACACGCGTGATCTTCCCAGATACTCTGACTCACGGTTGTTTTAATCTGAACCCCAGATGGCAAGAGCCTGGAAAGTAAAGTAAGTATATAGACTCCTGGCTCCTTTTGAGCTAGAATCACTGTGTGTTGTAACCTCTCTTCTTTGTAGAAGATGTGGGAGGCATAAACCCATTGCTGTTGAGTTGATTCTGACTCTGAGACTATAGATCAGGGCAGAACTGCCCTACAGGGTTTCCAAGGCTGTAATTTTCAGACGCCGAGTGTCAAATCTTTCTCCTGTGGAGGCGCTGCTGGGTTCAAACTGCTGACCTTCTGGTTAGCAGCTAAACTGCTTAACCACTGTGCCACCAGGGCTCCTGGTGGGAGGCATTCTGGTAACTAAATAGCTGAGAATACGGTAAAGGAAATGAAGGCTAGCCTAATTTTAAATCTAGGGTGAGAAAAAAGGTGAAAAGAATGTCAAGTTATTCATCTTAAGGAGTGATTTGGAAAATCACCTCTCTTCTCAATTACAGTTGACTTTTTATTTTTTTAAATTTTAAAACAGCAAGTTCTACTATGTATTATGCTGGTAAGTCCACTTAAAGGCAAACAGGCTTTTGAATAAAAGGCAAAAGGTCTGCATCAATCTCTGAAGTGTATCTGAAAATTAGAATCCCTCCCCCCTTTTAAATGAAAGCAATATTTTACAAATAGTGTAGAAAACAGGTTATAGTTTTTTAAACAGCCCCTTCACCATTTATTGTTGGTAGCAAAATAGCCATTTTCAGGAGATGTCTTGGAAATGCCATAAATAATCAAACTAAGCATACATTTTCAAACATACTGAGATCTAGTCATGATGAAAAAAATACTAATTGACTGTAAAATTATAGGTTTAAGTAAATTAGGAGAAAATATATGACTTATTTGTCCCAGTTAGCAGCATGTGACTAATTTTGGAAGCTGCTTCACAAGGAAACTGTGAAATGATTCTTAGTCTTCAGTACAGGACCAGTCACTATAATATGGACTGTGCCACACAGAAGGCAGGCATTTCTAGCAGGAACGAATAGGGAGAACCAAAACACAAGGCAAAAGCTGAGCCTATGTACATTACAAAAGCCCATGCATTTATCTGACATGTTATTCCAAACATCTCCACAGAAGCTTTGGAAATCTCACATATAAATGTAACATATTTTTCTTAAGAGGGAAAACTAAGACAACTCATATAACTTAACCTACAGCAGAAGCCAGATTTTTAGAAAACGTGACAATGGTACCTCACCAGAAATGACTAAGAGACAGAAATACAATTTTAAAACTCAGTAATGTAACAAGTGACAGAGTTGCAGGAGCAGGTGTGTTACCTCACTCTGACAAATAAATAAGACAGGAAGAAGCATCTGTAAGGCCAAAGGTGCAACATCACGTATTTTAGTAGCAAATGCCTTGAAACACCCATTTTGCAAATCACTCTTATATTTGAAAAGTCAAGCATGCAGATCTCACAGCAGAACTGGAAGTAAACTTTCTTTTAAATTTTGGGGCAAATGACTCCTGAATCAGAAATACACTTCTTGAGCTTCTTTGGCAAACATTGGTCAAGATAATTTTTGACACAAACACTTAATGCCTTGCTTAGGAATTTTGTTGAGTAAGGTGAGTCAGTTCCTTAAGAATGCTGGTTTGTTTTTTTTTCCTTCCTTCAACATACCCTGAAATCTAAGTTTGGATATCATCCCTTTAACTTAATATCATTTGCATTTTTTTTTTAAATGGTTGGCCACCTGATGGTATGTCCAATAAACTGATAATTAGTTACAGCCCCAGAGTAAGAAGGAATACTGACCTAGCCTCAATTTAAGACAGCACTCTGGTAAGACACAAGGTCGCTTTGATTTCTGTTCACAAAGACTTTGCAAATACTTTTAAAAATCTGAAAGAGATGGTGTTACAGTATAGTTGCACAGTGCTTATGTCTATAATATACATGAATCTGAATGTCAATCAACGAGATGAGTTCAGATCCACCTTTCCCCTCCATGAACCAGACTGGACTTGGTCAGCAGATTCCAGTGAAGACCCGGCAGCTAGCCTTAGAGATGTAGTAGAGCTTGCTTCTCAATCACTTGCTATCACCATTCCTCGGGCCTCTGTTTTGTGGTATCATAGGCTCTAATCACTTCAGACTGTGAAACGATTCCATTTTCATCTTGAGAGAAAGCATACCCATCTGTAAGTTAACGACAAAACACAAATTATCACCACAAAAAAGTGGCTAGAAATCCTTGTTATTCTGAGTTTTGAATATTCATTGTCTAACTTGGGGAAGGAATGCCTCCCCTCCCACCTTCAAAAACCCAAAGACACTTATTTTGAGTGTCTGGAATAGATATTCACTCAGTTGCACAAGTGAGGAGTGGAATAAAAGTAGGCCACCAAAGAATTCTTTACAATCTATGAACTCTGCTTCCTCAAAGGCAGAGCAGGCATGGTCCTCCTTCTCAGTTCTCTGCCCAGTGCCTCAAGTCCAGCCTGTCTGATTTTTACTTGTCCCTACTCAAGGGGAGTGAGTGGGTTGAGTCAAGCTGGCACATGTATTTCCATTCTTATTAGGTGGAGTGAGATGAAGGAAAAATTGAAAGTGAGGAGGAGGAGATAAACACATATATCCATTAAGAGTGGAAAATGGTCCTCCCATTTTGACATTTTCCTTGGCTCTCAGCATCTATGAAGAAACCCATGGATGTCCTGACATGCTTGGAGGAGGCATGTGTATAAGTAAAGATACCCAAGGGAAGCAGAATCCAAAGCTTCCTTAAGTCTCTGGATCACATCTTTAAAGAAGACCTCTTGAGGTTTAAAGGGCAAAAGCATTAAACATGGAGTGCATATAAATCAAAATAAATTTTATGTGGAAACAACATGAAACAAAAGATGCATTACTAACATAAGTAAATTTACTAGATAGGGCTTTATATATTATATTCTTCTTTTAGATCCTTGAAATATTAAGAAAGGGTGATACCTAATGATTTCTTACAACTCTCAATATTCATAAATATTTTTGAAGGGAAAAATATATGTTTCATTGTGTTGTATGAAAGCTGAACAAGCTCTAGCGAAGTTATTCAAGGGGAAAAGATAACAAAACAAAGGCAGCTTTTAAGAGTTAAGATTTATTTTACTGGTTCTTTCTAAGATTTAAGGAAGCAAGGGGCATATGGAAATATGATTGTTTTTCTTTAAGTGAGACAGCAAGATTTTAAAATGTTCTAGCCCTTCTGTTAAAAGTTAGCTGTGGTCAAAGAATCCTCTAACCATATGTTATTTTAGATAACACATTGCAAATATGCACAACTTGATTTGGGTGTTCACTTTAAATAGTTTTATATGCCTGTAGCCAAAATACTGCTCTGATAAATGATGGTACAATGAGAGCAGAGAATTCATTTAAAAATGAGAACCCAAATACTTACGGAGCAGGTTTTGCTGCAATGACTCAGACCTGTATAAGTTCACGTGATTCTTCTTAAAGACATTCTTCAGCAGCTGTGCCCTCTCAGTGAGGCTGCAGAGCAGGTGCAAATGTGTGAAATGAGTTATCAACTCAGCAGAGACCCCAGTGTGCCCACAGGACCACCAAATAGAGGTTAGACTTAAACAAAAGACCATTTGAGAAATCTGTAGTCTAGTGATTCTTTTTGCTCCATATTCCCAGATAGCAAAATGAGATTTCAGTTACCTAGACAGACATTTGTCAGGTCATACTTTTTTCCCCACTTAAAGAAGAGTTTTTGACCCAATAACCCAGTCAAAAGTAAGATTTCCACACCCACGAATTATATTTAAATTACATGGACATATATATGTGGCCAAACACAAGACACTTGAATGGAAAGTTTCAAAGTGTTTAAAATTGGTGACAAAACCAGATTTGAGATAAATTTTGGAGCAATATTTTCTCATCAATTTATATTATATAAAAGTGATGACCAGAAATTACTCTATTAAAATTATACCTGCTTTACTGGCAAGGCAGATACCTACAGTAATTACATGTGAATCCTCCAGAATGTTGACTTTTGAAAAAATTGAGGTGAAAATACATATAACATTTGCCAGTTCAACAATTTTTATATGTACAATTCAGTGACATTGTTTATGTTTGTCATGTTGTATAACCATTCCATTATCCCTTGGAATATTCATTATTTTTTAATATCATCAATTATAAAATATCAACATATGTATGAATGTGTGTGTGTATTTATCAGAAGTTATGAATCAGATGCTCCTATAAGATGTTTGAAGAACTTACGCAATATAATTAATAAACATACAAAATCTTCTAGCTATGTTATTAGCTTCTAAAAATTTGGTTGACTTACCACATATATTCTAAGCATGGTTGTTTATAATTACAAGAAAACCTTAATTGTTAATATATCTTTTTTAAACTTTGTACATATTTTGGTGCAAAAGAATATTTATTTATTTTTAACATTATATTAAAGGAGCCCCACATATTATGCAAAGAAGACATTTGATATAGATTTTTTAATTAGAAAAATTCTATTACTACTTTAATGTGCTCTGGTAGTATAGTGGCTAAGGCACTGGACTGCTAACCAGAAGGCTGGTGGTTCAAACCCACCAGCCACTCCTCGGAAGGAAGATGGGGCAATCTACTTCCATGGTGATACTGCCTGGGAAACCCAAGGAGGGGTTGCTATGAGCTGAGTCTGACGTGATGGCATATAACAACAACAATAACAACTTTAATGTGTTCCTTAATTTCTTTTAAAATAAAAGCCTATTTTCTGAGAATAATTATGCTAAGGAAAACTACAAAAGAAATGTGATTTTCAATAAATATTCAGAATAGTCTTCTTTACAGACACAAATCTACCAAATTAATTACGAAATTTCTAAAAACACATTGCAAGAAAAAACATCTGTTTTGTCCACTGCACACAGAACAGTGCCTCATACAGTAACCCACAGCTGTAGACCTTATTCCAACTCATAGCCACCCTGTAGGACAGAGAGAACTGTCCCACAAGATTTCCAAGGCTGTAAATCTTTATGGAAGCAGACTGTCACAGCTTTCTCCTGGCAAAGTGGCTGATGAGCTTCAGTTAGCAGTCAAAAGCTTAAGCACTGCAGCACCAGGGCTCTCTCTTCACATAGTGGTTGTTACGTGCCGTCGAGTCGGACTCGACTCATAGCGACCCCTCCTTGGGTTTCCGAGGTGGTATCACTACAGAACTAGATTGCCCAACCTTCCTTCTGAGGAGTGGCTGGTGAAATTCAAATATTTGTCAAATAAATGAATCCGAGTAATAATTTTGAAATGCACTTATAAACACCATCAGTCTTCCTAATCATGCCATTTCTCCACTGGTTGATTTATAAAACTGCTTTGATATCAAAGAACCTAATTATGAGGGGCAAATAAATAATCCATGGGCTTTGCAGTAAATGTTTATGCAATTTTGTTTTATTCACTGGAACTGACTCAGATGAAAATTTTCCATCTTGCATTTTCCCCACTGTAACAGCTTTAGCTAAACTGCTATGGTAAGTTATACTGGTTCTACATATTGCCAAATATTTTGAGACCCTGAAATGGAACAATCTTTATCATACACAGAAAAAGGATCCTCTGCAAAATGAACTCAATGCAACTGCACATTATTTAGAAATATGGACATTTGTAGTCATCTTCCCTACACACTTCTTTAACATCTTAGGATGTTAACTGATACTTAGTAGGCACACTTGATTGTCATCAGGAATTACATCCACCAAGGCAAGAAAACTAATTAATCCAACATTCCACTGCTTCTATGCAAATAGTTGCAAAACTTGTTTCTGTTATTGAAACAAACAGATAAGGGGAAGGAGAAAGGGCCATTTTTATGGAGTCATTTTTCTTACTCTACTCTTTAAATGATCTAACATTACAGACCCCAGAACCCTGAGGGACACTAAAGTATGTGACTGATTTGCGGAAGTCTGTGCTTTAGCAGCAGGTGGTCTGATTTTGTTAGCAGAGCACTGTGGATGGGGTGCTGGCCAGTCTCGAGTGTTTAGAATTGAAATGGCTACAGAGATCGAGGGGATGGCAATGTATCATCATGCAGTTTCTTCCCAAAATATGTTTTCCAGGTTTTGTGCTGGGCTTTCTAAATGCATACTACCTTAATATTCAAACACCAAAGTGTTAAGAAAGCAGATGTGAGAATTTTCTTTCATATTATGATATTATGGCAACCTGAATAAGAGGAAGTAATTTTGTTTTCTAACAGTTCATATAAGGCTATACTGTCACCCAGCTGTTATATCAAGTTAACGCCCAGTGTTCAAAAAAGTCTCTTTCTTGGGAAAGTAGCATACTATTGTAGAAACACTATGAGTTCTTTAGAGTCTTACTTAGGCTTAAGTTCTGAGTCTGTTCCTGGTTAGCTGGGTCACCTTAGGCAAACCTTCCTCAGCCATCTCATACAACAGACAGACAACAGTCAAGCCCCAGGCCCACTGTGAGGATTCAGCCCCTAGCATGATGACTAGTTACAAATACTAGTCCCTCCTACCCTTGCTCCTGGATCTCAAGGAATTTATTATAAAAAATCAACTAGGAGATTATCACAGCACAAAAGATAATTTGTGAGGATCATTTTTGATAAGATGTCTATTGCACATGAGTTTTAATTGACAATGCCCCCAAGTCCACCTTTTTAATAGGAAAACTTATACATAGTGGTTTTTTTTTTTTTTTTTGTCTCAGTAATGTTGAACTCCTTGCTTTAGTTCTTGCAGAGCAAAAAGTTGCTCCTACAGAATATAAATGCCATTCACAGGGGGGTGCTTCATAAATTATAAGTGATGATGAGTTTTATTTCTCTAGTCTTATTCTACCTCTTGGGAACTACCCATCATTTCAAATTCGTGAAATTCTGTACCATCGATGTTTATGGGTACTGATATTATTATCAAGTTACAGAATAAAATATACTGACATTAAAAGAGATATTAAAAGTTTGTTTTTTTGGTTAAGAGCTCAACACAGTGTGAGAATAAATATTTTCAACATGCACAAGGATACTTTCTCACTAAAGCCCATCTTTTTCATGACTCGTGGCCAGTAGTTTTACTTAATTTTATATATTCTATTTTTTTAAAAAAACATTTTATTGTGGTTTGTAAGTTTACAAAGCAAATCTGTTTCCCATTCAACAATTTACACACATTTTGTTTTGTGACCTTAGCTGCAATCCCTCAATGTAACAGCACCTTCTCCTCTTTCACCCTGGGTTCTCCATTTCCCATCTTCCTTGTCTCTACCTGCCTTCTGAGCTTTGTTTTTGGGCAAATCCTATCCTATTAGTTTCCTATGGCTGACTGTTCCGAGAAGCATGTTCCTCACGGGTGTCATTATTCACTTTATAGGCCTGTCTACTGTTTTGACTGCGGGCGATCTCTGGGTTCAGTTTCAGACTTGAAGGATGTCTAACGGCCACGTTGGAAGATGGGGGGGTGGGGTTCCACCAGTCTCTATCAGAACTATAAGTCTGTTTTTTTTTTTTTTTTATTAATGAATTTGAATTTTATTCTGCATTTTTCTCCCATCTGTCAGGATTTTCTACTATGATCCCAATCAGAGCAGTCAGTAGGGAGCAGGGCACTTGTACGTTCTTTTCCTTAACAAATCATCATGTGCAAATTCTGAATTTCCTTAATGATACAGCTATCATTTAAATATTGGTACCTTGTCCTTTACCACACTAAGATGTTACAATTTAGATATCTGATGGAGATGAAGGGTAAAGATATCATGTTTTAAGATAATATTTTATTTAGAAACACTGAAAGAAGTTAATGTCAGTAAAAACTTGTTTACTCTCTTGGAATGTGTTGTCCTACAATGACTAGTATTTTCAGTTATTTTTGAAGTGTAGCAAATTTGCATTTGTTTTTATATTGTGTTGGCAAACCATTTCACTTGACTCAGAATATATCTCCAGAAAGTGAATAACCATTCCCTCATGGAGTATTTTAATGTATATCATGTGAGAACTGTCCTATACTAGATAGTGGTGGTGGTGGGGAGATGAACAATGACTCTAACAGGTCTAGTTCTTGCCCTGGAGGAGATAACATTTCCTTTTCTGTCACTTTTCATTACAAATGTACCATAGAACCATTATTACAGTGATGAGAATAGGCTGGGGAACATATTTGATACATCCCACTACCCTCGATCCTCATCAAGATATTTATATAACACTGATTTAAAATCCAGTGTGAATAAGGAGAATCAGAGTTTTTTTTTTTTTTTTTTTCCCCTATTAGTTCTGGGGCAATGTTAAAACTGCTTTTCATTAAGATAGACAATATGGAGAAAGACAGGGAGAGACCACCATCACAGTCCACATAACCTAGTTATCTGACACTCTATTCTTCCCTACTCTTTTCTTTAAAGCCAAGCCTATGGGCAAACAATGGAGATGGACCAAGTTAATGAGGATTGATCTGAAGATCCTATGCTTAAATTATATTTAGTAA